GGCTGATCCTAACGGGGCTGATCCTAATGAGGCTGATCCTAACGGGGCTGATCCTAATGAGGCTGATCCTAATGGGACTGATCCTAAAGGGAATGATCCTAACGGGGCTGATCCTAACGGGGCTGACCCCAAAGGGACTGATCCTAATGGGGCTGATCCCAAAGGGACTGATCCTAATGGGGCTGATCCCAAAGGGACTGATCCTAATGGGGCTGATCCCAAAGGGACTGACCTCAATGGGGCTGATCCTAATGGGACTGACCCCAAAGGGACTGATCCTAATGGGGCTGATCCTAATGGGGCTGACCCCAAAGGGACTGATCCTAACGGGGCTGATCCTAATGGGGCTGATCCCAACAGGGCTGATCCCAACGGGGCTGATCCTAACAGGGCTGATCCTAATGGGGCTGATCCCAAAGGGACTGATCCTAATGGGGCTGATCCTAAAGGGGCTGATCCTAACGGGGTTGACCCCAAAGGGACTGATACTAATGGGGCTGATCTTAATGAGGCTGATCCTAATGGGGCTGATCCTAATGGGACTGACCCCAAAGGGACTGATCCTAATGGGACTGACCCCAAAGGGACTGATCCTAATGGGACTGACCCCAAAGGGGCTGATCCCAAAGGGGCTGATCCCAAAGGGGCTGATCCTAATGGGGCTGATCCTAACGGGAGTGATCCTAATGGGGCTGACCCAAACGGGACTGTGGGAAAACTGTGGGGTTATCTTTGGGGTCTCAGGGTCGCTTTGTCCCGTTTCCCAGGAGTTATGGGGTTGTGTTTGGGATCTGAGGGTCACTTTGTCCCATTTCCCAGGAGTTGTGGGGTTATTTTAGGGTCTGAGGGTCACTCTGTCCCATTTCCCAGGAGTTGTGGGGTTATTTTAGGGTCTGAGGGTCACTCTGTCCCGTTTTCCCACAGCATGGATGGGTTCCGGCTGGTGAAGCTCAATGAGGTCATCAGACAGGTGGACATCGTCATCACCTGCACGGGTATGGGGTATTTGGGATCCTGACCCTAAAATGTGCCCTAAAACATGGGGATTGGGATCCTGACCCCAAAATCTGCCCTAAAACACGGGGATTTGGGATCCTGACCCCAAAATCTGCCCTAAAACACGGGGATTTGGGATCCTGGCCCCAAAATCTGCCCTAAAACATGGGAATTGGGGATCCTGACGCTAAAATGTGCCCTAAAACATGGGGATTGGGATCCTGACACCAAAATCTGCGATAAAACACGGGGATTGGGATCCTGACCCCAAAATCTGCCCTATAACATGGGGATTTGGGATCCTGACCCCAAAATCTGCCCTAAAACATGGGGATTTGGGATCCTGACCCTAAAATGTGCCCTAAAACATGGGGATTGGGATCCTGACCCCAAAATGTGCCCTAAAACATGGGGATTGGGATTCTGACCCCAAAATCTGCCCTAAAACATGGGGGATTTGGGATCCTGACCCCAAAATCTGCCCTAAAACATGGGCATTNCCCTAAAACATGGGGATTGGGATCCTGACCCCAAAATGTGCCCTAAAACATGGGGATTGGGATTCTGACCCCAAAATCTGCCCTAAAACATGGGGGATTTGGGATCCTGACCCCAAAATCTGCCCTAAAACATGGGCATTGGGGATCCTGACACCAAAATCTGCGATAAAACACGGGGATTTGGGATCCTGACCCCAAAATCTGCCCTAAAACACAGGGATTGGGATCCTGACCCCAAAATCTGCCCTAAAACACAGGGATTTGGGATCCTGACCCCCAAATATGCCCTAAAACACGGGGATTTGGGATACTGACCCCAAAATGTGCCCTAAAACATGGGGATTGGGGATCCTGACCCCAAAATCTGCCCTAAAACACGGGGATTGGGGATCCTGACCCTAAAATCTGCCCTAAAACACAGGGGATTAGGATCCTGACCCTAAAATCTGCTTCATTGCACATGGATTGGGATCCTGACCCCAAAATCTGCTCCATTGCACATGGATTGGGGATCCTGACCCCAAAATCTGCCCTATAACATGGGGATTTGGGATCCTGACCCTAAAATGTGCCCTAAAACATGCGGGATTTGGGATCCTGACCCTAAAATCTGCCCTAAAACACGGGGATTTGGGATCCTGACCCCAAAATCTGCCCTATAACACGGGGATTTGGGATCCTGACCCTAAAATCTGCCCTAAAACATGGGGATTGGGATCCTGACCCTAAAATCTGCCCTAAAACATGGGGATTGGGGATCCTGACCCCAAAATCTGCCCTATAACATGGGGATTGGGGATCCTGACCCTAAAATCTGCTCTAAAACGTGGGGATTTGGGATCTGGTGGGGTTTATTGGGATCTGCCCAGGTTTTTTTGGGCTCTGGTAGGGTTTATTGGGATCCAGTGGATTTTTTGGGGATCTGTGTGTCTTTTTTGGGATCTGGCAGGGTTTATTGGGATTTTGATGGGTTCATTGGGATTTTAGTGGGGTTTATTGGGATCTTGGCATGGTTTATTGGGATTCTGGTGGGTTTTTGGGATCTGGTGTGTTTTTTTGGGATCCGGCGGGATTTTTGGGATTTCTGTGGGGTTTCTCAGGATTTTGGTGTGGTTTATTGGAATTTTGGTGATGTTTATCGGGATTTTGGTGGGGTTTATTGGGTTTTTGATGGGTTTTTTTGGGATCCGGTGGGTTTTTTTGGGATCTGATGTGGTTTTTTATGATCCAGTGTGTTTTTTTGGGATCCAGCGGGTTTTTTGGGATTTCTGTGGGGTTTCTCAGGATTTTGGCTCCTGCAGGGAACAAGAACGTGGTGAGCAGGGAGCACCTGGACAGGATGAAGAACGGCTGCATCGTCTGCAACATGGGGCACTCCAACACCGAGATTGACGTGGTCAGTGCGGGGTCATGGGTTTGGGGTTTGGGGTCATG